GTAAATTATGTTTGAATATTCATTCTGGAAAGTGTAAAATGTTGTTTCGGTGTGGTATGTGTCAAAAGGAACACAATACCCTGCTGCATTTGGACAAGCAATGTGAAAATAATAATTTTCCTACTGAACGCAGAGTCATGTATTCCAATGCCTCACGGCAAGAATAGTTAAAGCAATACCTGGAAAGGACGGCAAAGTAAGGGTTGTCGAAGTGAAAACCAAAAAAGGTATTTATCTCAGATCGGTTACCAAGATTGCAGTGTTACCGATTGATGACAATAATTGTTAATAATATTTTTGAAAATTATTCACAAAATTCTGTACATATATTTGTAAAACATTTAGATTTATATTTATATTCAATTAGCTATACTCGTATATACATACATAATGTCATACTATGTGTTCCAGAAATGTTTTTTAGCTTTAATTGTTAGTTAAGTTTTCGTTTACTGGATCATCATTGAAATCATACCTTTTTTTAAAAAAAGGGTTGCTTACTTTCTCTTTAATTTTTTTATTTTTTTTGCTGGAAAATTTTACCTTGGTTTCATGTGAAACTCTAGGCCCCCCAGCATGTTGGAAACATGTTCCAACAATCATGCTATCTCTTTTTGATGGCAAAATATTTTTATACATATAAAGTTTGCAACACTGCAGCGTTGTCGTCATGTCTATTTTGTCATGTCTGTCAATATATTGCGCGCCATTTTTGTCATTGCAGCAGTGTAGCTTGGAGCTTGTCCACGTTAACAAGCATCCAGAAACCTTTTCACATTTTAATAAATTTTATAATCTAGCTCTGCCCTGTTGGGCATCTAAGCAAGCTCTGGCTTCTTGTCATCTTGTAGTAGTAATTGTAAATAGTGTAAATATTGTGTAAATTGTTGTAAATATAGTGTCAGTGAAAAGCGCGTGTGTTTTAGTTCCCTATCCAGTCGATCATCCAGTCCACCTAATTATACAGTCCACTAATTATCAAGTTATTTATCTTCCATTATGTGGTTTTGCACACCTATGGCACTCGAAGTTTAATCGGTTTAAATTTTAAATCTGACCAATGGGATTGTGCTAGGTGCCATATACATATACGGAATGAATAAATGCTTACCGTATACATCAGCCATCTCCATTCTCTTATAAAGACAAACATGATTTTTCATGCTGATGACACAAAAATATACTGCAATCCGTGCTTGAAGCATCACAAACTTTTAGACGACCTGAAAACACTCGAGAAATGGATCAGCGAATGGCAGCTAACACTCAACCCCCGACAAGGGCACTGTACTGCACATTGGCCCTAACAATCCAAACATACCTTACAGCTTAAACGGCATTACCGTGAAGGCTGTCACTGAGCAGAAAGATCTGGGTGCCATTATCTCAAATCACCTAAAATGGGAAGCCCATATTTCTTCATTTGTCAAGCGGACAAACTCTTTTGTATACCTTATACAGAAAGCTTTTAGTGACAGATCCATCCCCATGATTAGCAAAATACTTATATAAAACATAATTATATCAGATCTAAATTTGGAGGTCACACATTCGGTTTGTAGCCCATACTTGGTTAAGGACATTGAGAATATTGAGATCTTGGAAAGGGTCCAGCGTAGAGTGACAAAACTCCCCCCTGAAAGCAGAAATCTCTCATACGAAGAAAGACTACTGATATACGACATAACAACCCTGAAAGCTAGACGAGAGAGAGGGGACTCGATTGAGACGTACAAAATCCTAAATCACCATCGTTCTCCAGATTTGCAACTGGACATTTTCAGTCTAAATACTAACCAGAAACTCCGAGGCCATACTAAAGAAGCTGGATAACGAGAGATGCTCAAATCTGATCAGAAAGAATTTTCTGACGAATAGGGTTGCCTATCAGTGGAACGCCCTTAAGGAAAGCACAATCAGTGCTGGTTCTCCTACAAAGAACGCATTTAAACACAGACTTGACCGCGACCCGGAGAGAGCTAGACTAAATTTTTTGCATTAGATGTGACTCATAACAGTGAAAACAAGGATATACCTATACAGCAGTAGTCTCATCGGCGTTGCCGCTTACTGCTGAGTAGGGGTTCTGCGATATAACGTTATCGTAATGGTAGTAGCGTTAGCGTATGTTAAAACTCCCGAAATTTCAGATCAAAGGCACCGCCGATTTAGATATTTGCCCACGGTATCGAATAAATTCCCAGAATCAGGTGCCCTGTTATTTCTGACAGACAGACTATCAGCTTTGGCTGCTAGCTATCAGATAGTGACACATGAAGTCGCCATTGACACCTGTACTACCTACCACCCAAGCCCACAGTTAGATGGCAGACTTAACGTACGCTAAGGCTAACGCTATTACCATTACGATAACGTTATATCGCAGAACCCGCTTTGTTTAACTACTCTGTTGCTCAAACTTATAATAATAATTCCAATCCAGTGAATCTAAGACTGTGCATAATTTAGTTTTCTTGGTAACAAATAAATTTTTAATATTGTTCCTGTCTTTTTCACAATACCTATTTAGTGATAGTGAAAAATAATGTTGACAAACACTTAAGAATTAGTATACAGCTAAAATAAGGGTATAAATAAGGCCTTCACTCTTTATAATACTACTAATTACTAATACAGACAATACTGACGAGTTACCATTTTCCACTGAATTACTTGATTGTTAAAACTGCTCAAAGACATCATTGAAGAAATATTATTGGTGGTTATCTACGTCACATACTGAAAAGAAGTTACTTGTTCAGGGCGCAGTTGAAAGGGATAGATTCCGCCCCAAAAATGTGAATGAAATCAGATATCAATAATTTTCTAGTACAACCAAAGTTGATAATGGTATCAATGGTATCATTCCTTGAGCAGATTGTAGTACTATCAAAGTCAGTGGAAATATTTGTCAGGCCAGACCAGAAACGAGCGACATATCCAAAAAGAACATGTAAGGATCCCAAAAAGAGGGCCAAAAATTACAGGAATAATCAAAGTTATAATTGGAAAATAATAAAGTAAATGAAATACTCTCAATAGTCTCAGTTGAAATTCTCTAAGTTCAAATTAAAATAATAATTAACGTAGTTATCTGTTTCGCTGCTTAAGCCAGCGATGAAGGTCAAAATTTAATCCAACAATTATTATACGGACCCCCTCTTTAGTCATCAGTTATCTTTACCGAAGACGATCCGAATGAAATAATCACGCAACTGGAAGAGTCACGAGATTCCTGACCTTTTACATAAACTCATAAATCTAAACACCAAACGACATTAATTACAAGGCTAACTTGTTTAATTGTGCACACGCGCTGTCGGCGTTTTTGAATAGCGGAAACAGAAACGAAATGCTTGCGAAATTACTTCGAAAAATACTAAATTAGGACACGCAGTTGCAGGGGTTATTCGGAGATAACGATTCCTAGAAATAGAGGCGATGAACTAAAACTCACGCGGAGATTTATGGTGGGATTGAATTCTATTTAAACAGATTACAATGAGAGAAAGGGGCAATTGAAAATTACACTTACATTTAGAAGTAGATCAGCAGTTGATTCATAGTAAGATAGTAGAGAACAGTAGAAATTGGTAGTGATTTGAATCATCTCCAAAAAGTTATTATGTATATTTCTTTCTCGGGCCCAAATTAAATTCGCGATTTAATTAACTATATTGACAAATTAAGAAGTTAGAAGTCAATTCAAATCTTTTATTCGATTTTGTGCGTGCTAAGCAATTAAAACAAAAATACTTTGATAGTTAAAGCCAGTGTAGTGGAGTTAATGACAATTATTATAGTAAGTACATATAAGATAAAAAGACTTTTATTCGACATTAATTGCAATGACTATGAATGTGAAATGACTCTGGAACATTATTGCAAAAATTTAATTGACTTTGAGTGAAATGACTTTTGAATATTTTTGCTAAGATTTTAAATAGGAAAATATAATGCACTTAACGATTGCCGATTAGTAGAATGAAATTATTGAAAATTTTGAATTGAATTTGACTATTAAAGATTAAGGGCTCTAGTAGCTAATTAAAAGAATTTAAATAAATTGTGTAATGTTGACCTGAAATTTGAAAAAAAATATTGTTCTGGTTAAGTATATGATTCTTAGTAAAAGTTTTAATCATTAAAAGTAATGAAAAGTTTGTCAGTAAATGACTTCAGGGGTTTTAAAATTTAGAATTAAAGGTAATGTTAGGTTTATTCAAAATATGTATCGAATCCATTTAGTATTGTGTAGAAGAACAAATGCTTTGGTTATAAGATATTGAGAACATCAAAGTAGGGCTTTATTTAAAGAATGATTCAAGTTCCGAAAAATAAAGAAAGAACCTTGTAGAATGTTGAAGATTGAAAAGTGTTGTAGTAAATTGAATTAGCAAACATAGAGGTCGCTGTAAGACTTTGGGAAAATAATAGTTTTATTACTTTGTACAGGCAAAGTGGGTTTTGATTATTTAATTGAAATAAAATATAATTGTGTAAACCTTATTACAGTTGTTTCTCTCATTTGCGAATAGACCCCTTCCACAATTTTATTAGTAGCTGCCCAAGGAAATAAACACCATCAATAAAACCGCTCGCCATTCAGGTACCATCCAACTAATTAAAACAGTACCTACTTGGGCGCACTGCTACAGGTATATATTCCTGTTTAATAATATTGCTCGTACTTGTTCGGCCAGTTTATAAAATGGCTAAAGCACTAGCCATATTACAAAATAATGCAAAATAAACAATTATTTTACAATGTGGCCGCTTTTTATAAAGCGGCTAGGTGTTTTATAAAATGGCGAAATTTACAATGTGACTACGACATATACCTACATAAATAAAGTTCATGTAGGCATTTTTTGGTGCTATCCACGCATTTTTTCCAGTCATTGTCCGAATATGGATAGCAGATAGAACTGATTTTCGTAGAGGAAGGGTAGAGCTATCCCATTTTCACAATAAAATTATGTATTCAGTGAAACAACTCCTTAGAGGATTCAAACACATTTATTTTACTTAAAAAAATATATAACAAAAGACCATAAATTACATGCAACAAAAAAAAAAATACTGATACAACTACATTATTCACACTCATTTAAATTTAATATTTACAAGGAAGCATCAACTACTAAACGTGAACGATTTTCACACACAATATTTATTTTTAACTTTGTTAATATTGTGTATAAAATAACAGATATTTTCTTTACATTTTTTGACTATATCAGAAATCTAGATATATCTATACACGAAATCCATTGTATGAGTTTTCCTATTTCTATACATAAATAATTATGACTAGACATACAAATGCATTTTTTTATAATAGCTAGAAATAGATAAATTAATATGTTATATAAAGTTATCATATTTCAATAAGAAATCAGTTAAAAACATTGATTATCGAAAAATAGTAAAAGTTTTAGGTTTTTCAAACTTATGGAATAGATTATTGTCTTTCTTACATTGATCATTCATTATTTTAGAATAATATTCAATAATTAGGTACGACCATCATCACCTTAGAATAATTTAATGATATTCTCTTTGATCTTTTTATCAAATCACACTTATTATTTTTTTTAATTTGATAATTATTTATCACAGAAAAATAAGGAAATATATTCAATTTTAAATTGCTCTAATTACTACTGCAGCTAAATAAATATAAATATCTTTGATGACATTCCCTTACTTATTTTGTAGTTTCTGGATATATGATATTCAAAATACTAACATAAGACCCGGTCAAGAATCCTAAAAATCCAATAGCCACTATAGCAATATCTTTCCACAACAGCCAATCGCTTCTCCCGAATTTGTCGGGCCAAAATGTGATTATTTCCACTAAAGGTGGAAAAATCATTGCCAGAGCACTACTACTAAAAGCACCCACTAGTGAAATAACTGCTCCCAAATTAGGAATAGCTATAGCAATAATAAATGTTAAAAAAACCAAAGCTGTTCTAGTAATGTATTCTGCATAATTTTTAGTTTTTTCGTCTGTGATGTGGTTTTCAATTGTAGGCCAGATTATGTTGAATGGTACGTAGAACTGTAGGCTGTAGGAGAGGAAAATTGCGGTAGCCATCATAAGTCGAACTGATTGTGCCAATCTGAATTAATCCCAAATTAAATTATAATAAGTTTAAATAATAAATATTATTACTTACACTTCATCTGCAGGCAACAATAAAGTAACACTCCCCAATACAGCTCTATCGCCATATTTCAAGTATCCAAAAAATCCTACAGCTGTATATAAAATAGCCACTACTATCATTCCTCGATTGAGTACTCCATTCCAACCACCAAAGTCTTGAGGGTTTTTCATGTTGTTTTCCAGAGGCAAAACCTAAAGAAAATACACTCTGATTCTGCATTTTTAAAGATATAAGAAACTTACAACTCCAATCCCTTCAAAAGCATAAACAGCAGTTCCAAAATATAAAGGCAGCTGGCCCCAACTTGCAAACGCGCTCATAGTTGTAACTGCAGGAAGGCCTTGCAGCATGTAGAAGAAAGTGATTATCAATCCTGACGACATGATTATGGAGGCAAATAGAGATGTTGGGGTGAGGTACTTGAGGCTTTTCACCCAATTTAGTAGAACTAGCGGCACTAAGAGTATTATGAGGTACCTATAACAAAATAGGACATTTTTTAAAATGTTTTTCACTTGTCATCTCAATTTCTAATTTGATTTGATTGGATTATCGTCCTCAGGAACAAATGTAATAGTGACGATAATTGTTTGTAAATTTACGGTTACAGGTAGGTACTAAAGTTGATACGAACAATAGAACTATTTCTGGTACGCCGATACTATTTCTGGATTTGGCATGTCGTTTAATTACCAGTTATTATGTCTCGTTGAATTCTCTCCAGTGTCACCAACTTATCGCTTTTATTTATACGACAATTATTATATTATTGAAATTAAATTGCGGGGGCGGGTCTATTTGCAAGTGAGAGAAACAACTGATGTACGGTTATCCATTAATTAATATACTTTATTCGAAAAAATAAACAGAGCTTTTCCAAATCACAATGGCACAATTTTTATACTCTGAGCCAACACCTTGCCAAAACAAAAATAAACAATTCTAAATGATGCTTACTCATAGCCACCTCTATACTATCTCTGAGCTTGTAAAAAAAATGTTACAATCAAAAGCCTTGTACTTAAATAACTTTTTTATAGAGCCTTACTACATTAGGTTACAATATTTTTAACCAAAACTTCTACACGTGAGAACATTACAATTTTTGAAACGTCCAATTCTATAAGCGTATAGAAACCCCTGATTTCGCTTACTGCCAAATTTGTACAAAGCTTTACTCAAAATTTAAAACTCAGCTAGAGTGAATATTATTACAAAACATTAAACATGTTAATTAATTCTTCACTACACTCAGACATAACAATACTATCTCAATTCAATATTAGGTACGCATTCAATTTAAATTCTTTTAATCATATATAGAGTTCAAAATATTTAACTGAAATCATTATATCAATGTTCATTAATTCTTTTTCATTAGACAGAGCTCACAGGTTCAATAGTCATTAAAATTTCCTATTTATACTAAACAAAACAAAAAAAAAATATTCATAAGTTCACTCAAGCTAATAACATATTTGCTAAGTCCCATTGTTAATTCACTTAGTTCATAGTCATTTTAACATTGATAAAAGTCAAATAAACATGTCACTAGAGTACTTACATTCCGTCCTTAAATCACTGAACTATTCTAAAATACATAATTATTTTGATTATTTAGAGCTCGCACCTAATGTTGAACGAATTTTAATGTTCTTTCTTTCAAAATTTTCCGTTATAGACTGTGAGATAGGGGCTGTTTAGTGGAGTCATTTTTTTTTGTCTGGCATTTTGAGGGCTGAATGTGGCTACTAAGCTGATGAGAATATGGGTGATTTTAATGCCTGCCTCCCGTTCGAAAATTTGCAGAAGAAAAAAATTGATTTACATGAAGATTTTTTTTTAATGATCTCAAATTTTCTGGCTTTTAAATAAAAGATTGACATTGATAAATAATTCACCTATGAAAAATACTATATGCTTTTCAATAGCTGAGAAAGTCGAGATGGGTGTCAACTTTCAAGAGAAAAGAAAAGAACCTTCCGCGTTTACTTTTTGTCTGGCAATCGAGAGAATAGAAGGTTTTGTTGTAAAAATAACGCTGAAAAATTGCCAGACGGTAATCACAGTTCGAAATCGAGTTTTACGGCGAAACATTCTGTGGACATTTCGAACAGGTGGCAGGCATTAAAACCACTTATATTCTCATCAGCTAACTAGCCACATTTATCCCTCAAGATGCCAGACAAAAAAAAATGACTCCACTAAACAGGCCCTATCTCAGGGTCTATTACTTTCAAAAGATTCGATTTAGCGCGTTTTCCCGAGGCAACAGAACAAAAGAAACGGATTTTATCCGGACTGACTCATTAATCTTACTGTAGACTCAAGACTCAAGCCTCTAAGCTCAACTGAACTGAAGACTAATCGTAAACTTCTAAACCGCTGTTTTTATATTTTTCGTTTCCCCAAAAAATTTCGGGTCATGTCCATTCATTAACCGTTCGTTTTTTCTAGGAAATATAATTATGTTTTTGATTGAAACCGCATACCTATGTGGCAATTTCCTGGATTATCGGGGTCAACAGATTTGAAAGAATGTGGAGGACTCCTATTTCAAAGAAAAGCAAGCCGCACTCGTGCTGGCCGTAAATCATGATTTTATTATAATTCTGTCAGTTTGCGACCCAATTTAATTACTATGGCTGTTTGTGTGTTTTTAATATTTTTGTGGATTTGATTTATGAATTCAATGTGATGACACGCGCTTGGTCACTGGCTATTAAAATTTGAACGTATTTTAAATACTTAGGTATTATAAATAATTTGTATCAATGTCAAATTTAGAAAATTAGCACTTTTCTTTTAATAGGTATTGGAGATTTAATTTACATTAGATTATTTGATTCAATTTACACTATTTGATTACATTTAAATTTACTATTTTTTTGTATTTCAAGTCCTTGTAAATTACGGTTCTATTTTTACCGGGTCATTACAACTGTGACGGATATGTACGTGGCGCCTCCGCCAGGGAATTCTAGAATGTACAGTGTTATTCGGGAAAAAGGCTATTGCGTTATTCTGGATTTTGCAGGAATAGATTACGGATATACCGGGTGACAATGAAACTACTACCCACGGCCACATTCCACCGGAAATGGCATTGACTTTGTTATTTTAAATGGGACACCCTGTATATATATATATATATATATATATATATATATATATATATATATATATTAGCTGAATATTTCGGGTATGCGGTCTGTATAGTATATTAATACTCAATTGCTTTTAAACTCAATATTTCGTCAATTTATTTCGACTTCGTCAGGAGTACTTAAAATGTAAAAGGAATATAATAATAATAATAATAAAATAAATAATAAACTTACTTACAATGCTTAGAGTAGTACATAGGTGTTAGGAATGAATTTATCAAGATTGGATCAATAATGGTGGAATATTTTGTAAGTAAATTGTATAGAATATAAAAGTAGAAATAAAGATGTAAAACGATTGACAAGAAACAGAAAATAATATGACATACATTATAAGGTATAATTTTGGTACTTGATTTGTTTAAAAATAGGTAATGATAGAAAAGGTAATAGAATGTATTTAACTGATGAAAAATGTTGCAGTAGATGTTGCTCAAGTGATTAGTATCCAACCTAGAGTTGATTGAATTTTTATTTTTATTGATATGACACATTTCCAAAAATAAACGGTTCTTATAATTTGATTCTTTTTCCAATATTTTAATATTATCAAAATCAAACTGATGTCCAGTCTTCAGATGATGTTCCACAGTGGCACACGTATTTTTTCCTTATTTGCAATCACTCTTATGTTGCGTAATTCTTTGCTTTAACCACTGTGTAGTCTGTCCAATGTAACTGCCTTGACAATCCAAACAAGACATTTCATAGATTAAATCATTCTCAAACATTATTGGAGTTTTTTGTTTAACTTTCGAGAATAAACTTTGATTTCTTAATTGATTATATTTACCTATTTGGATGTTGGGAAAATTTTTAAAAAGTGAGATTATTGGGAATGTTAATTTATCAATAAATGGTAACTTTTTGTATATTATTGGAATGTTTAACTTTTCTGTAGGACCGTCATAAATATTTGAATTATAAATTAGTTTTTTTAAAATATTTTTTGGATAACCGTTATTCAAAAATATATGGAAAAGTTTTTCCAAATTTTGTTTCAAAAGACTTTCATGGCTAATATGGTGGATTCTATTTTTCATTGTTATTACAGTGTTGAACTTTTGATTTTTTGGATGGTTAGAATGAAAATTCAGGAATCTGCTTGATGCAGTTTCTTTTTGGTACCAGTCAAGAATAATTTTATTATCATCTAATCTAATTAATTTTGTATCTAAGAAAGGAACGCTATTGTTAGTTTCTCGTTCAATTGTAAATTGTATGCTTTTGTGGAAGGAATTAAAGGTTTTTAACGTTAGTTGAACGCAATCAGATGGCACTGCACATATAATATCATCAACATATTTATATATAAATGGAAACCTAAAGGGTAATTTAGGAATAACGATGTCAAATAGATGATCGAGAATAATTGTTGCGAGAATTGGACTTATAGGTGAACCCATGGGAGTTCCAAAAATTTGTTTGTAAAAATTATCGTTAAAACCAAAATAATTGTTGTCAAAAATAAAATTAATTAATGTAATGAAGTTATTTTTCGAGATTTTAGTGTTGTCTTTAATTTTATCCCATTTAAGCTCAATAATATTGATAACCAAATTAAGAGGTATGTTTGTAAATAAAGATACTACATCTAATGATATTAAAACATATTGTTCAGGTAGTACAAAGTTTTCCATCGCAATAACGAATGTGAACGTGTCTTTTATATTATAGTTATTAGTGTTATTAAAAGTAACTTGAAGAATATTAGATAGATACTTTGATATATTATAGGTTGTTGAGTTAACAGAACTAATAATTGGACGCATTGGTACATTTGGCTTATGAATTTTTGGAAGACCATAAAGTTTTGGAAAAGACGAATTGTATATAGTTAAATTTTTGGCTTTCTCTTCAGAAATTTCTTTTTTATCTTTCAAAGTTTTAATTAATTTATTATACTTTGTTTGAATTGAGGTTGTAGGATCTTTATTTAACTCAACATAGGTAGAAACATCAAGCAATAATGATTTAGTTTTTTCTAGGTAATCAGATTTATTCATAGCCACTGTACAACCACCTTTGTCTGATTGTAATATGTATAAATTAGGATGATCTTTTAAGTACTTTTTTGTTTTTTTAAATCTTATATTCAAATAATCTGATGATTTGGAATGTGAATCATTTAAAAAGTTTGTTACCACATTAGTAACTCTAGCTCTCAAAATGTCTTGGTTATCTATAGGTGTATCATCTATAATATTTTCAACATCTGCAAGAAATCTATCTATTCTCAAATCATTTTTTTGACAAGGAATACCAAACTTTGGTCCTAGTGATAAAAAATCAGAAATTTCTTGTGGAATG